AACTTTTTGGGAGTTTTACGGGGCGTGGTTTGCAATCCGCCCAGCCAATCAGAAATATAGCTCTTTTCTCACAAGAGAGCCGCACGAAAGTCCCTGCTCTCTCTGGATGATACCGTGATGTACTGTGCAGGTCCCTCCATTAAGGAGGCTGGTGTTAAATTACAGACTGTTTTTAACATTATTCAGACTCAGCTCTCTGAATTAAAGCTTCTTTTAAATATTGAGAAAACCAAGGTAATGCTCTTTTCTAAAGCTAAAAAGACACCAGAGCATGTTTTAGATATTGTAACTACACAAGGAACACAACTTGAAGTTGTTGCCTGTTACAAATACCTTGGTATCTGGCTTGATGATTGTCTCACTTTTAAACTTCATGTCATAACCTGCTTAAAAAACCGAGGGTTAGGCTAGGTTTCTTTTACAGAAATAAGTCCTGTTTCTCGCTTGAGGCCAGGAAAAGGCTAGTCACTGTGACCTTTTTACCTGTGCTGGACTATGGTGATTTGATTTATATGAATGCACCTGCCAATTGCCTGGTCAAGTTAGATGCTGCGTATCACAGCGCGCTAAGATTTGTGACAAACTGTAAAGCATTAACGCATCACTGTACCCTGTATGCAAGGGCTGGTTTGCTTTCACTAACTGTACGGAGGCTCAGTCACTGGTACATTTTTATTTACAAAGCCATGTTAGGGAAACTTCCATCCTATATCTGCTCCCTGATCTCACGGCGAATTGTAAGTGGCTACTGCCTGAGATCGCATGCTGTAGTTTTATTAAATGTGCCAACTGCTAGGACTGTCTTAGGGAAGACAGCTTTTAGATGTGCAGCGCCACTGTCTTGGAATAGTCTGCAACTGAAATAGAAATTGAGCAATCTGGTGCCACTAAATGTTTTTAAAGCTCGGTTGGATGCTACTCAATCGGAAGCTGTTGGTACCTGTACATGTGGATAGTTATGTAAATTGTAATCCCTGTGATGATGATGTAAGATGTCCTTTTGTTGTTCTGTTAATGTTTTTATGTTTCATGTGGAACCTACTTGAGCAGGTCTCCCTTGTAAAAGAGTTCAATGATCTCAATGGGATTTATCTGGATAAATAAAGGTTTAAAAAAAAAAAAAAAAAAATTACTGTTACGTCTGTTCTCTATGAGAGGCGTATGGGCGGAAGTCAAAAGCTCTTCTAGATGTGTTTTTTGTTTTGTTTATCTTTATGAACTGCTTTAAAGCATTGATCTCGTGGAATTTGAGCATGCAGACAATTATTAAAATATATATTTTTTACTTTTCGCCTCTCTTCTATTACGAAATGTTGTTTCCATTTTGTTTCCAAGTACATCAGGTTGCCTGCTTACTTAACTATCTCATAATATTAACATTTTCTGCCACTTTATTACATCTTGCATAGTACTGATATTTTATGCTGAAATCTTAAACTTAAACGTGACTAAAAGTAACAAATACATGTATATATTACCAAATCCCACACTTCTCCCACACAAATCTTAATCCAATAACTTTATAAACATTTACATGCAAGGAGCTATTATCCAAAATGAGTACTTTTACTTTTGGTTATTTAAGTTAATTGTTATGCCAATTAGTTACTTTTACTTAAGTGAACTTAAATGCATGCCTTTTACTTCCAACAGTATTCATATTTCTGCACTGTTATTGCTAACAGTAATGTACTTCTTCGACCCTTGACTAAAAACTGACTGTTTGCTCGTTTTATTAGATGAATTGCAGCCCCTCTTGTGGTTGAAACACGGTATTACACACACAAATAAAGCTGTGTTCCTCATCAAAGAAGTCTGCATTGTTTTTCTTAAGATAGTCTTATTCTCCTGTCATGCCCATGAACAGACTGAGCAATGGATTATTTAAAAAAGAAAATATTTTTAAAAGTGGTAAAAGTATCCAGATACAAGTTAAAGTAAAACATACTGAAACATAAAAATCCTCCATTCAAAATAACAGTTCTGCATTCATAAAGTACATAAGCAGTTATTTATCCGTAGGTTTACTTGAAACATCAAAAATATGGCGATGTTATTTTTCTATATAATCTAATGTTGGATTATCAGGGACGCTTTATTGTACATGCAACAATGGCATTGCTGTTCAAAATATAGCTAATTTAATTTGTTTATTGTAACATAATTTACTTTTTGCCATCCAAAAATCAGAATTTATGTAAATTCCTTATCTGAAAAATAAACTGTCAGATCAATGTAGAGCAGCAGTAAAAGTTGTGTGTGTGTGTGTGTGTGCGTCATCTTGTGGATTTAACTTGTACAGTATGTGCCTGAGGGTCTGCATTTAGTTTCTACTGTAGCCAAACTTCATGGTTAATGGATAAGTTATATGTTTATGTGAGAATTGTTGTATTGCTGCCCAGAAAATAAACAACAATAGAGCTGCTGTTCTTCCTCTGTTATGCTCTATTGTGAAGTATTTAATTACTCAAATCCTGCCAATGGAGGTAGGCCTACTTGTATTTTATTTGAGTATTGTCATTTTAACGCTACATTATACTTCTACTCTAAGGGAAATGTACCTTTTATAGAAATACATTTTTTTGAAAGCAGAAAAAAAGGTGTGTTTTCTCAGTTTACTTGACAACGCAGTGACTGTTTCAGGTGTAACCATTTAGTTTCTGCATACATTTCAAACTCCATACCTTAAACTTGGGTTTGACTGGAAAATATATTTTCACTGCACATAAGATTCCCCGAAGTTTGCACTTCCCCTGCACTCACAGTGCTTTCTTTCATGCATTTCCACATGATGTGCAGCCTGGTTATGATACTGCAGGAGAGTATGATTTATTACAGAATGAATGCAATGTTTCCTAAATGGCATCGTTTTCATCTGTCTGCTGTGGCTTAATCAGATTCACCCTTCCTTTGTTAAAACAGTATTGTGGTTTATCTTCTGATATAGGGAAAACATCAAAAATAGAATAGAATAGAATCGTTTAATGTCATTATACATGTACAATGAAATAATAATAAATGCTTCTCCCTTTCAAGGGTGCCATCAAAACAAAAACAAAAACATCACAACATAAAACAACAAAATACACGTAGCATACATACTTAGGAATAAGGAATAAAGGAATAAGGAATAAAGTGCAGTAATTATTTCCAGGGGTATAAAAATAAAATCTGTAATGTAATAAATAATAATAATAATAATAGTGTGTATTTATAATAATAATAATAATAATAGTAATGATATATATGTATATGTACAGAGTCACATTGATTCACATGATTTCAGGTGTTAAGAGCAATGATGGCTCTTGGGAAAAAACTGTCTTTGAGTCTGTTTGTTTTGGATGTGATACACCTGTAGCGCCTGCCAGAGGGCAGCAGGTTGAACAGGTGAAAGCCGGGGTGTGAGCTGTCCTTGATAATGTTTTTGGCTCTACTGAGGCAGCGGGAGGTGTAAATGTCTATCAGGGAGGGGAGAGGGCAGCCGATGATCCTCTGTGCTGCTTTTACGACTCTCTGGAGCCTCATCCTGTCGGCCTCAGTGCAGCTGGCGTACCACACTGTGATGCAGTATGTCAGTAGGCTCTCGATGGTAGAGCGGTAGAAGGTCACCAGCAGCTTAGTGGCCAAGTTGTTCTTCCTGAGCACCCTCAGGAAGTGCAGACGCTGCTGGGCCTTCTTGATGACAGCTGTGGTGTTGTCCTTCCAGGAAAGGTTTTTGGTGATGAGGACGCCGAGGAACTTGAAGGTGTGGACCCTCTCCACACACTCGCCGTTAATGTCGAGGGGAACGAGGTCGGTAGTATTACTCCTGAAGTCTACGATGATCTCTTTGGTTTTTGTGGGGTTCAGTGCCAGGTTGTTCACTGAACACCACACTGAGAGCTTCAGTACCTCACTCCTGTAGGCCGACTCGTCTCCTCCTGAGATGAGCCCCACCACATGTTCTCTGGGTGGGCTGGACTGCAGTCGTGGGTGTAGAGCGAGTACAGGAGAGGGCCCAGCACACAGCCCTGAGGAGAGCAGGTGCTGAGAGTGCAGGTGGAGGAGTGATGGGGGCCAAGTCTCACACGCTGGGGGCGGTTAGTGAGGAAATCTTTGATCCAGGAACAGGTGGGTGGGGGAATGCCTAGGTTTGACAGTTTGCAAACTAGAATGTCCGGGATGATTGTGTTGAACGCTGAGCTGTAGTCAATAAAGAGCAATCTGACGTAGCTCCCACGATGCTCCAGGTGGCTCAGTGCAGAGTGGAGAGCTATGGCTATGGCGTCTTCATTGGATCTATTTGCTCTGTAGGCAAACTGGTGTGGGTCGAGCGTGGGGGGAAGGCAGGCCTTTATGTGATGTAACACCAGCCTCTCAAAACACTTCATGATCACAGGTGTGAGTGCAATGGGGCGGTAGTCATTAATGCTGTCTGTGGTTGCTTTCTTAGGAACAGGAATGATAGTGGCAGTTTTAAGGCAAGGTGGGATAACAGCGAGTTTCAGGGAGAGATTAGTTAAATCTTAATTAACTAATGCAATATGAACAGTGTTATGGAAATAATTGTCATAGACGCCAAGATGTGACATACAGGACAAACCTTGATGTCTGTTTACCTTCTTTAAGGACACAGGCTGCTTAGCCAATAATGTTATTGTTCCCATTCTGTGACCGGTCAATACTGGGTCACAGATGGTCTGTGTTGTGGGTACACTGGGACACTTCCTTCTCTGTATTTGTGGACTCCAAGGTGAAATCTTCGAGGTCATAGGTGTCCGAGGCAAGTAGCTCAGTGTTCCCACATTGTTTAGGCTATCTTCTCAAATATGTTGTTTACTCTCTGCGAAACCAGTTAGATGGGCTGGCAAGAGAGAGGCTCTCCAGAATTGACGTGGCAACTCTACCGTGAAGTCAGAACCTCTGACTCTTGGACTTGTGATGTGAATCCTCCGGCCGTTAACTCCAAATAAACCATCATGTGTTTGACATCAAAGCTACTGCTCTTCCCGTGTCTCCTTCCTGAGTCGGTGACTCCCACTGCATAGCTACACAGAAGTTTCCTCTACAAACAGTGTTCACATTCCTGGTGAAGTTTAATGCTATTAAATGAGTGTTTAGCAGTATTAGGACTTGTTCGACAGGATTCCTTAAACACCAAGGTGTGGCAGAGCCAGGGAGTGTCCCCATGTGCTCCTATATTTAAACCCTGCAGACGGTGCTCTCTTCACCGTGTCGACTCATCTCTCAGGTAGGAACGGTTGTATCAATGCATTCAGGTGTATCTTTTCTTTTACAGCAGGGTTTTCTCCGTAAACGTTATACCTGTTTTGATGCTTGACTGTAGTGACTCGTTGGTGATTTTATCTCAAACTGCAACCAGCAACATCTTGATAAAAAAATATTTTAAGTGTATGGTTGTGATTTCAGGTACTAACTTCAGTAAGGCTGCCTAACATATTGACAGGTGTGTACAAAAATATTTTAGAGAAATGCAAAAAATGTGTTAAAAAATATTTTTAGAATTTGGTTTGTGGATGACTCAGTCTCCATTCCTATTCTCCATCCTGTTAATATTTTAGTAATATTATGACAATGGTTGTCATTGTTATTGATGTTTTTCTATTATCTGTTCAGATCATCTACCCTCTGGAAATGGAAGAGTGCTTGAACCTAACTGGATTGGAAATCTCTCTGGTTTCCATGTATGCTGTCTTTGACGGGAACAAAAATGAAAATGGAAAAATGGACAAGGATACGTTTTTGAGAGTGTTGAAGGAGGAACTGCCTTTCTTTGCGGTGAGGGGAATCATTGTATTTGTGTTGTGTACACTGCGTCTTGTTCTACAGGCATTTACTCTTTCTATTCTTTAAAATGAATATATTCATTTTTTTCATCCTAGCAAGCGGCAGCTAAGAACAATTGTGACATGTTCAGCAAAGTGGACCTTGACAACGACGGGTTCGTGGACTTTGAAGAGTTCTCCAAAATGGTTTGCGGTTGTGCTTGTTCCAGCCATGACGCTTTGGAGGAAGCCCACAAAAAACATGAGCAGAAGAAGGAATAAAACAAATGACCATTTATGAACATGGCTAATACTTTTTCAGTACTTTCTGACAAATGTGATTTCACCTTACAATAATAAAAGTGTTTTTGTTCCAGTATTACTACTTGTTTAGTTTTTTTAATTCTTTTTTTATTAGGATTGATACAACTTCCAGTACTTCCTACCAGTATAAAAAAACGTTTTTATATATGAAATGCTCTGTTTAGTCGCTCTGCTTGTAACTGATCCAGCCAGCAGCAACAACATTGGGGAGTGTGATGTAATGCCAGCTTGTAATAACAGCCAGGTTGATTTTGCAAATAGTGGGGATGATGAATACAAGTAGAATCTCAAGCCATTAAAATAGACGTTATTTTTATTTCTATCACGAGAGACCCCAACACTTTACAGAATTAATCCAAAAGAAGATTTAGTGTCTCATTGTGTTCTATATACACTATATGACCCTCCAGCAGAGGAGAAGTGTATGGGAGGGAATGGGGATGCCATAGTTTTAACATCGCATAATACAAAGTGGTGTAAGTGATTTACTACATTTGACATTAAATATTTCTATTTGATTTGGGTATTTCCATGTTCGTGGAATTAATACTGTGACTCGGAAATGTTGTTTATTCCAAAAATAGTGAAAAGAACATAATAGAATAATGACATGACTCGCTTTTAATATTATAAATACACTAAATAAGTAGAGGAACTGAATGTCTTTGTTCACGGCTGACAAAACAGGCCAATTCCCCTTTATGTACTTACACTTTCTGTTATAACAGTTATACAAAACATTGTGACCTATATGTCTCATTTTACCATATGTTCTGAGTATCCTGCAACGTTTAACGCAGCCTTTAAATGAATGTAAATGGTCGGAGGTGTTGTTCTGAGGAAACAGAAAGATTTTATATAAATGTATATTTGTTTTATAATTGAGGATACAGACCGTTTCTCCTCTCCTGACATCAAGCTTCTACCCTGCTGTGCCACATCATTTGAAGGCATCCGGTGCGGGATGGGAAGGGTGGGGGGGCGGGATGTCTGGGTGAAGAAATGAGCCACAGGCATCTGTAAGAGTGAATGTACATTGACGTTAACAACCAATATAGAAATCGTTGTCTTTCTATTACAATATCTGTTTCGACAGCCCAACATAGGTTGATGCTACAGCGTTTTTTTGCGTGCGTAAAAACGCCCAGACCGAGTCTCTTTTGAGGAATCACCAGAAAACGAAGGATTTACTAAACGGTATACCGGCATAGATTGTGCTTTCCACAAAGGTTGCATATAAACCTTGAGTCTTTTGATATGTACCTTGTGGTGTATGGAATAGATACATCGCGTTTTATATCCAGATGATGAAATCAGGAGGTGGCTATTTTCAGAAAATGGCAGAGATGGATCTTAAAACAACAACGATGGAGGCATTGGTTCGTATGAGTGTGAGTATCCATGTTCTGCTGTCAATGGATGTATTTTTTCATAATATTCTTCTTTACTCTTATTAAAGTACATGCATTTCTGAATAGAGAACAGACTTACTGGTTGTAGGCTGTCTCAATGTTTCACCTGCGGACAATGTATGTGAATGGGCCTTCATATAATTGTCTTTACCAAGATTAAAGGCAGTTGAAATGAAAGAAAAAACATTGCCTAGATAATCTGAATTCATTTTCTACCATGGAATTATAAAATATTTCGTTACGCAGGCTAGTAATGCTGTTAATGTTCCTAAAAATGCCTCGGTACACCAGACTGAACTCCTCCTCTGAAATGTCAGAAAAACAATGCTCTTTCTACGTTTTGAAACAAGGTTGTTTTAAACATCACCAAATGCAAAAACAGTGTGGTTGCAGCCACAAATTACACATTTAATTTTTTTGGGGAGGTGAACGGGTTTCCATGGAGACGGGATTCAGGACATCGGGTTGTGTGGCTGCACCAGCCGGTATAGGGTTCAAACTAAACAGAGATGGTTACAATACACCATTGTGGGCTAACTAGATGCATGTTAACGTTGCCTTCACCAACTATTTGGGATATAATGTGCAGCATCTTTTGCTGCTGCTGCCACCAGCCTCTCATCTAGACCCCATCTTTCTTGCTCATTCCTCGCGATGCCTCAAACCCCTCCCCTATTTCCCAGAGACAGCGCTCTCTTGATGCTGCATATATACACGTAGTCTACTGCTATGGCGCCTAGATTCCAGGTGAAGGTAAGGATGCCCTGTCGCATCGCCTGTTTTACGCCTCCACCTCGCTGGGCTCAGCTTTAGCAATGCGCACTATCCGTTTGAGATGGATACAGCAGGGCCACAGGCTCGCGTGGTGTACATAGTCAGCTGGAATTGCAATATCCTGAAAACGAAATACGCTACATTTGCTAGTGGATGAGAGAAGGGCAGGCCGGAGTTGACATTGGAGAATGACACAGAGAGACTGAGGTGGGCTGATGGAGAAAGTAGGTTATTTTGATTTATCCAATTAATCCAATGTAACGTTTCAGAATGGGTCTATCATTTTTTACCATGCTGCTGTAGCCTCTTTCTGGGTCATCTGAAAACGTGTAGCAGTTATTTTATTGGACAATTTAGCTTTCATCAATCTACTTTTTTATATAATCCCAACTGTGTTAACATCATGTGAGTGCTTAATAAAATCAAGAGATCATGCAGGAATATAGTGATCCCCTGTATTTAATCCCTACTGGTTCTGCATCCACCCCCGACTCAGTGGTTTTAACAGTGGTCTCCGGTGTGCTAAGCCGTCCCGATGCTACATCTTATCACACCAAAGTGATCAAATCCCCAAACCCCCAATGCAGCAGGCAGTTTGTCTTGTCCTGTTTTTGAAGTTAACTCACAGTGTCAGTGATGTTCATGTTTTGCAGCTTACACTGCAACAGTTTAAGGTTGAGGTTGCATTTAAAAGGCATCCACAAAGCCAACAGGCCATTCTGTAGCAATATGACAGAAAGTGTAATACTCCTCCTGTGTACTGCACTAACAAATGCTGACTGAACACAAAAAAACTAGAGCAAAGGAACAGGTCCTTCTCATTGAGGCAGTATATTAGTGTGGTGACACTGTAGCTGGGGCTCTGTGCAGCCAGTGTGTCCTTTTCAGTCAAACCCATGTCCTTGAGCAGCAGGCCTATGACACGCCAACTGCTCCAGTGGGGCGGCTTTCACACCCCCACCATCTCCAGCTTGGGCCACTGTGCTTACAAGGTGCTGGTTCAGCATTGAGGTATTCTTGTGCAGCACTCCTCTAAATACAAGAAACCAATCAGCTCTGGATTATGTGGTGAATAGCGATCAAATGACCTAAAAAGTTTAAAGTATTCTCAGTGAACATTCTAATGCACTGTGAATGTTGTCCCGTTTATCGAAATGCCACATTTACCTCTAAAATGCTTCTTTTTTTTTTAAAATGTCATAAAGGCAGGAAAAGGCTGCACCATCTCATGATTATACAAAAGCATAAGCGACAACTGGTTAAAGAGTTCATGTTCATATGCAGCGCTGTGATTTAAGGGATGCACTCTGTGCAGTGGTTGAATAATTAATGACTGGTCTTTATCCATATTTAACAAGAATGATGGCCTATGTCACATGTCTTTGATAGCTTTTCACATTGCCCGGTCCCTCACTCTCTCTCAATTCATTTCCTATGATGCTGAATCTCCTCAGAAGTACAGACTGAAAGGTGTTCGTAGTTCTGGACTGTTCAGAAAACTGTCATTGAGTTTCGGTTTGACTTTTTTTATCAGATATTTTCTTAGTCAAATGAAAGTGTTGCAAATATTAGACTTAAGTTATTGTATGCTTGTGTTGAGATAAAATGTCACATTTGAAATCTTTGGCTACTTTTATAAGGGGTGTTTGAAAAAACAAACAAGAAAACATATCTCACAGTTAAGTGCTGAAAAGAAGGTTTTGCTATCAGAAAAAAGAATTGAGGTATTATTTCACCATTAGTATTAACAAATGCAAGTGTTACATGTCCACTCAAAAGCTATTTATGCACATTTGTGTTCTTATGTGTGCATACCCTAATCTCTCTCCTCTGTGCCTCACAGTCTAACATGAAGAGCCTGGAGCAGGAGTTGCATTGCAGTGTGTGTAAGGACATAGTCAAACAGCCCGTGGTGCTGCCATGCCAGCACAGCGTCTGCCTCATGTGTGCCTCAGAGGTGTTGGTGGCAAACGGCTATCCGCCTCCAGATCTTCCCCCAGAGCCCAACTCCCCCGCCTCAACACCCAACACCCGCTCACCGCGTCAGGTTCGAAGGCCTACACCTAAATCTGAGCAGCGACCTATTGACCGCGTGCTGCGCTCAGGTAGGAAGTACTTCTTCATTCGTCATTTTAATCAAATCTCTTGAGGGGGACGTTTATGTCTTGTTTGGATAAAAATGGAGGCCCTTTGGATTGACATGCAAATTATTCTATTTACACCTAAACCCACTCTTGATGTTACTCTAAGTCAATGATCAAACATATCTATGTAAGGAAAAGCTATCCTGTCATTTTCTGTCTCCTGCTGATTATAACTGGATTTTCTGTTTGGTTTGAGGTCCCCACCTGCCTTCGCCATCCATGCCCCGGTCTCCGGGCTATGGCACGTATCAAGGGCGACGGCGTAAGGAGGCCCCCCCCCTGGTGATGATGTTCCCCTGCATCCCCTGCGGCCAAGATGTAGAGCTGGGAGAGAAAGGCCTTACTGACTGTCTGCGCAACCTCACCTTGGAGCGCATAGTGGAGAGGTACAACCTGAGAAACACACATATTATGTTCTGAAGCCAAACATACACAAATGGAATGATTGGGTGTGAAAACCAGAGGGTGTGGAAACATTTCCAATTCAGATTAATCAGCAGAAACTAAGCTGTTGAGGAATCCTGCAGAGCGTGCACTGCATACTGTAGCTACCGACTGAGTGCTGCCACAGTCTAGTTGTTTTCTGCGTACTTTATCACCTATTCAATACTGTTCGGCTCAATGTTTCACAGTGAACCCTTTGCGCTCTCATTTCAAAAGCTTCCACAACCTTTCATTTTATGTTTTGGTAGATGATGCAAGTTATTCAACCACTTTAGAAGAAGCCC